ACCCGTAACCTATAAATAGCTTGATAATAAAGCTAGGGATTCTTAACCTAACCTTCTCAAACACTGAGTAAAAAAAATAAAAGAGAGAGAGAGTGGAGGGAGAGAGACAGACAGACAGACAGATAGACAGACAAAGAGACAGAGTGGAGGGAGAGAGATAGAGACGGAAAGAGAGTGAAGGGAGAGAGAGTTAGAGTGAGTGAGAGAGTTAGAGAGAGAGTGGAGAGAGAGGGGGAGAGAGGGTTTTAGAGAGAGAGAGAGAGAGAGTATAAGTGAGGATTCTCAATATAAGCTTCACCGGAAGTGCTTAGAGGGGGAGACAGGAACTATGTGACTCTTAAGTGTGTGTGTGTGTGTGTGTGTGTGTGTGTGTGTGTGTACACTCACCTATATGTACTTACCTATATGTGGTTGCAGGGGTCGACTCGCAGCTCCTGGCCCCGCCTCTTGGCTAGTCGCTACTAGGCCCACTCTCTGATCCATGAGCTTTATCGTATCTCTTCTTAAAGCTATGTATGGACCCTCTCTCCACTACATCACTCTCTAGATTGTTCCACTTCCTGACAACTCTGTGACTCAAGAAATGCTTCCTAACATCCCTGTGACTCTTGAGTTTTCAGCTTCCAGTTGTGTTCCTTGTTGCTGTGTCCCATCTCTGGAACATTCTGTCTCTGTCCACCTTGTCAATTCCTCGCAGTATTTAATATGTCGTTATCATATCCCCCATATCCCTCCTGTCCTTCAATGTCGTCCAGTTGAATTCCTTTAACTTTCCCTCATATGACATATCCCTTAGCTTTGAGACTAGTTTTGTTGCAAACCTTCACACTTTCTCTAGTTTCTTGTCGTGGTTGAACAACCACGGGTTTCGTACTGGTGTTGCATGCTCCAATATGGGCCTGGTGTACACAGTGTACAGTGTCGTGAATAACTCCTTACTTAGATGTCGAAACGCTGTTTTTTAGGTTTGCCAGGCACCCATATGCTCTACCAGTTATTTAGCTGTTGTGCTTCTCAGAAAATGTTCTTGGTACGATGCCCACCCCAAGATCCCTTTCGTTGAGTGAGGGTTACAGCCTTTGACCTCCGAGCATGTATTCCATCTGCGGTCTTCTTTGTCCTTCCTCAGGCTTCATGACTTTGCATTTGGTGGAGCCATTTATCTGACCAGGTTTGCAACATGTCCAGATCCCTTTATAGTCTTACCTGATCCTCATCCGCATGAATTCTCCACATTAACGTATAGAAGAAACAGCACGGGCCCTAGGACTGATCCTTGTGGAACTGCACTGTTCAAATGCGCCCACTCTGATACCTTCCTATCATGTATTTCCACATCCATTGTATTGCTTTTCCTCTATTCTTACCTGCTCCTCTAACTTTTGTACCAATCTCTTGCGCGGAACGGTGTCAAAAGCCTTCTTACAGTCCAAGAAAAGGCAGTCTACCCACCTCTCTCTCTGTCTCTCTCTCTCTCTGTCTCTCTCTCTCTCTCTCTCTCTCTCTCTCTCTCTCCTCTCTCTCTCTCTCTCTCTCTCTCTCTCTCTCTCTCTCTACTCTCTCTCCTGTCTTACTTCTGTCACGGAGAGATATTATCTGGGCCCACCGCATAGCAGTGTCTTCACCTCCTCCTCAGGTGTATGTAGTGTGCCCAGAACTTGTTAATGTACCTTACCACCTCAGTTTGCTGGAAGCCTTTCTGTCTTCACTGGAAATATCTCCCTAAAGCTCGTGCTGAGCTCTTCACATACTTCCTGGTCATTTCTTGTGATCTTCCCTCCTTCCTCCCTCAACCTGATTACTTGGTCCTTGACTGTTGTTTTCCTCCTGATGTGGCTCTGTAACAGCCTTCTGTCAGGTTTGGCTCTCGACTCTTGTCATTGTCATATTGCCTCTGGGCCTTTCTTCTTATCCACACATATTCGTTTCTGGCTTTTCGGCTCAGCTCCCTATTTTCTTGAGTCCTTTCCCTTCTGTATATTTTCCATGCTCTAGCACACGTGGCTTTGGCCTCTCTACACCTTCGGTGAACCAAGGTTCACTCTTGTCTTCCCATTGTTTCTGTAGCCCTTTTGTACAAACTTCTCCTCTGCCTCCCTACACTTTGTTGCCGCTTGTTCCATCAACTCATTGACTGTCTTTCCCCCAGTTCCTTTCCCCACTGCACCTCATGCAGGAATTTCCTCATGCCTGTGTAGTCCCCTTTTTTGAAGTTTTACTTCTCACCTCCTCGTGCTGCTTTTCGCTCCACTGTTTACTCTACAAAGGCCGAGGGACCTTTCTTATGTAATATCCCCAATGTCAGAACTGCTCAAGGTGAATGAGGTCCAACCCTGAGAAGTGAAACTCCTTTTCCCCTCGGTCCCCTCTGTCTTTCCTCATAATCTGATAGCCATTCGAGAAGAGAAGATCGCGGCAGTTATCATCCCAGTGAGCTTTGTTTCTGTGAGTGCTATGATGTCTGGGGATGCCTCCGTGTGTGTGTGTGTGTGTGTGTGTGTGTGTGTGTGTGTGTGTGTGTGTGTGTGTGTGTGTGTGTGTGTGTGTGTGCGTGTGTGTGCGTGCGTGCGTGTGTACGTGAGTGCGTGCATGTATGCATGTATGTATGAGTGTTACCTGGAGGTTACCTGGAGGTTATTCGGGGATCAACGCCCCCGCGGCCCGGTCCATGACAGGCCTCCGATGGATCAGGGCTGATCAACTAGGCTGTTACTGCTGGCCGCACGCAGTCCGACGTACGAGCCACAGCCCGGCTGATCCGGCACTGACTTTAGGTATCTGTCCAGCTCTCTCTTGAAGGCAGCCAGGGGTTTATTGGCAATTCCCCTAATGCTTGATGGGAGGCTGTTGAACAGTTTTGGGCCCCGGACACTTATGGTGTTTTCTCTTAGTGTACCAATGGCGCCCTACTTTTTATTGGCGGCATTTTGCATCGCCTGCCCAGTCTTTTACTTTCGTAGGGAGTGATTTCTGTGTGCAGATTTGGGACCATTCCTTCCAAGATTTTCCAAGTGTAGATTATGATATATCTCTCCCTCCTGCGTTCCAACGAGTACAAGTCAAGTGCTTCCAAGCGTTCCCAGTAGTTAAGGTGCTTGACAGAACTTATACGTGCAGTAAAGGATCTCTGTACACTCTCTAGATCTGCGATTTCACCTGCTTTGTATGGAGATGTTAATGTACAGCAGTATTCCAGCCTAGAGAGAACAAGTGATTTGAAAAGGATCATCATGGGCTTGGCATCTCTCGTTTTGAAAGTTCTCATTATCCATCCTATCATTTTCTTTGCACGTGCGATCGTGGCACTGTTGTGATCCCTTTAAAGTGAGATCCTCAGACATTACTACTCCAGGTCCCTTACATTATTTTTCCGCTCTATTGTATGGCCGGAGTCAGTAGTATACTCTGTTCTAGTTATTATCTCCTCCAGTTTTCCATAACGGAGTAGTTGGAATTTGTCCTCATTGAACATCATATTGTTTACCGTTGCCCACTGGAAAACTTTGTTTATATCTTCTTGGAGGTTAACCGCGTCCTCAGCAGATGACAGCCTCATGCAGATCCTAGTATCATCCGCAAAGGATGATACGGTGCTGTGGTGTATATCTCTGTTTATGTCTGATATGAGGATAAGGAATAAGATGGGGGCGAGTACTGTGCCTTGTGGAACAGAGCTCTTCACTATGGCAGCCTCCGATTTAACTCTGTTGACCACTACTCTTTGTGTTCGATTTGTTAGGAAGTTGAAGATCCATCTCCCCACTTTCCCAGTTATTCCTTTAGCACGTATTTTATGGGCTATTACGCCATGATCGCATTTGTCAAATGCTTTTGCAAAGTCTGTGTATATTACATCTGCATTCTGATTTTCTTCCAGTGCATCCAAGGCCATGTCATAGTGATCCAGTAGTTGTGAGAGGCAGGAGCGACCTGCCCTGAACCCATGTTGCGCTGGATTGTGGAGATTTTGGGAATCCAGGTGATTTGCAATCCTGCTTCTTAGCACTCTTTCAAAGATTTTTATGATGTGGGACGTCAGAGCTATTGGTCTATAGTTCTTACCTAATGCTTTGCTGCCACCTTTATGGAGTGGGGCTATATCCATTGTTTTAAGTGACTGTGGAATTTCACCCATGTCCAAGCTCCTCCTCCATAGTGTACTTAGGGCACGCGAGAGGGGTTTCTTGCAGTTCTTAATGAAAACAGAGTTCCACGAGTCTGGGCCCGGGGCTGAGTGCATAGGCATGTTGTCAATGGCTTTTTCGAAATCTATCGGAGTTAGGGTAATGTGTTTGAGACAGATGAGGCGTGCAAAGAAGATAAGTGGTGTGGGCTGGGAGAAGAGGGTGGGGCAGAAGGAGACAGTGTAGAAAGAGGAGTAGGAGGAGGAAGAAGAGGAAGTGAAGGACAAGGAAGAAGAGCTGGAGATGTTAGACACTGGTGGAATTAGAGCAATTTTTACCTGATAATAAGTTTATATCTTTTCATATATAAATTAAAGAAATAAAATTAATGAAATGAGTGAGAAGAGACAGTGAGCCGTCTGTCTGTCTCTCTGTCTGCCTGTCTGTCTGTCTGTCTGTCTGTCTGCCTGTCTGTCTGTCTGTCTGTCTGTCTGTCTGTCTGTCTGTCTGTCTGTCTGTCTGTCAGAGCCCAGAGATCAGGCGAGTCATAGAGCGACACTGACCTACAAAATACTTTATCCACCGGAAAAACCATATCTGCTCTAGACCTCCACGGGTTGGCCTCCTTCCCACTGAATAGGCGGCTGTAGTGCGGCGGCTGTAGTGCGGGCGGCTGTAGCGCGGGCGGCCTACAGTGACTTATAACATTACTATGGTGGTATGAAAGTAACACTTGTTAAAGTGCCAATGGTTTACCTTAGGTGTTGATACTAATAACACCCAGATGATGTGTGGATGTTTTGTTGGTCAACCTGTTGATACTGAATATCATTATTGTACTGATACTAAGAGTGACCTCTCACCCCAGGTCACCCCGTGACTATGGCACTCTTTCTTGCTGGGCCACCAACGAAGTGGGCACTCAGGCTGACCCTTGCAGGTTCACTGTCATCGAGGCAGGTAGGTGTGTTGAGAATAGGTGGGTGGAGGGTAGGTGGGTGGAGGGTAGGTGGGTAAAAATAATAATGTAATAAGCAATAAACAACTGTGAATGAATAAACTGCAGCATGGAGCTCCTACCCGCATGGAACACGGCTCGAATCCCTATACATTCCCGTGTTCACAATACAACTATATTTCCTGGTCAGGTCCCCCAGAGCGTGTAGGTAACTGTGTGCTGGTGAACCTAACAGTGGCCAGCCTGGAGGTCGGTTGTACTGCTGGCAACGACGGTGGCCTCCCCCAGAGGTTCATTGCCCGGGTGTATGCCGCCCCTACCCACACCCTGCTGGCCACCCTGGAGGAGGAACACACCCCTCGCTTCCACGTGGGAGGCCTCACCCCCGGGCAGGACTATCTCATCACCGTCACAGCTGTCAACGCTAAGGGCACCAGCCTACCACAACAGATTGATGCGGTCCGTCTGAAGGTGTGTCAGTGTCACGGTGTCTCGTGATCCAATACCAACTTTCTTAACACTAACATATAACATTCAGTAACTTTAACGTCAACACCATGGAGTCTTAAGAATCAGTATCAGGTATCAATTTCCTTATCGCTAAAAACTCTCATCGGTATCTTTAAATTCATTATCATTCGACTTTATGTTTCAGTACCTCTAATTATCATAGAAGTGTCACATTCTTTACCATTTACCTTTTATGATCTAATATCAACTTTAAACTAATCACGTTTAGCAGGTTTAAAACCCATAACATGATGTCTTGTGATCCAATATCAGTTTCCTGAGTGTGGATGCAGAAATAAGGGTCAAAATGCCGACCAATGGTGAGTAAAAAATAAATACAGAGATTTCATTGGTACAAGTTTTTATCATGGGGAAAATGGCAAAGTGAGCCTCGTTAAGATTACAAAAAAAAAAAACGATAACAATATTTCTTCAGTCGTACAGTGATTGGTTGGTTAATGGTGGTTTAGGCCTATCCATTATACTTGGGTCATTACGTCCGCGCGTCAAGAATATTTTATACTCTAAAATAAGGGATTAAAGTAACCTGTCAGCGTATATACAGTGGGAGACACACAGCTCACAGTGTATATATACAGTGGGAGACATACAGCTCACAGTGTATATATACAGTGGGAGACATACATCTTACAGTGTATATATACAGTGGGAGACATACAGCTCACAGTGTATATATACAGTGGGAGACATACAGCTCACAGTGTATATATACAGTGGGAGACACACAGCTCACAGTGTATATATACAGTGGGAGACATACAGCTCACAGTGTATATATACAGTGGGAGACACACAGCTCACAGTGTATATATACAGTGGGAGACATACATCTTACAGTGTATATATACAGTGGGAGACATACAGCTCACAGTGTATATATACAGTGGGAGACATATAGCTCACAGTGTATATATACAGTGGGAGACATACATCTTACAGTGTATATATACAGTGGGAGACACACAGCTCACAGTGTATATATACAGTGGGAGACATACAGCTCACCGTGTATATATACAGTGGGAGACATACATCTCACAATGTATATATACAGTGGGAGACATACAGCTCACAGTGTATATATACAGTGGGAGACATACAGCTCACCGTGTATTTATACAGTGGGAAGACATACATCTCACAATGTATATATACAGTGGGAGACATACAGCTCACAGTGTATATATACAGTGGGAGACATACAGCTCACCGTGTATTTATACAGTGGGAGACATACATCTCACAGTGTATATATACAGTGGGAGACATACATCTCACAGTGTATATATACAGTGGGAGACATACATCTCACAGTGTATATATACAGTGGGGAGACATACAGCTCACCGTGTATTTATACAGTGGGAGACATACATCTCACAGTGTATATATACAGTGGGAGACATACATCTCACAGTGTATATATACAGTGGGAGACATACATCTCACAGTGTATATATACAGTGGGAGACATACATCTCAGTGTATATATACAGTGGGAGACATACAGCTCATCGTGTATATGTACAGTGGGAGACATACTATAACGAGTTTGTTTGGTAGAGCTGAAAGCGGGGTGTAAATGATGTGTCTTCTTTGGAGGCTTCTTTGTTTATTGTTAAGTCGTGGTGGGTACACAGGCTTGTGTTGTGCCCATGGCCCGGGAAGGGCCATCCCACGAGAGAGAGCTACTAGTACTTGTGACTTGCTGCTAGGCCGCTGTGTGAGTGAGGCAGAGGCAAGGGCAGGCAGGCTGGCACGCCCACCGAGAGGCCTGGCTACAGAGGGCAGCACCTTAGTGGCGCGATATGTGAACTAAGCTGGCAGACAGCATGGGCTGTCTGTGCAGACAGTATAGGCTGTCTACAATACATCTCACAGTGTATATATACACTGGAGGACATACAGCTCACAGTGTATATATACAGTGGGAGACATACAGCTCACCGTGTATATATACAGTGGGAGACATACATAAGATAAGATAAGATAAGATTTCGTTCGGATTTTTAACCCCGGAGGGTTAGCCACCCAGGATAACCCAAGAAAGTCAGTGCGTCATCGAGGACTGTCTAACTTATTTCCATTGGGGTCCTTAATCTTGTCCCCCAGGATGCGACCCACACCAGTCGACTAACACCCAGGTACCTATTTGCTGCTAGGTGAACAGGACAACAGGTGTAAGGAAACGTGTCGAAATGTTTCCACCCGCCGGGAATCGAACCCGGGCCCTCCGTGCGTGAAGCGGGAGCTTTAGCCACCAGGCCACCCACAGTGTATATATACAGTGGGAGACATACAGCTCACAGTGTATATATACTGTGGGAGACATACAGCTCACAGTGTATATATTCTGTACAGTGGGTGACTGAAAGCAGATGATGCACCAGGAAGTTGAGCTTCAGAGAAGCAATTTGGGAGGAATACTGGACCAGGCTGTGTTAGTGCAAGTTTGTGTTGTTCTAAGATGATGGGGCGATGGGTGAACGTGTCACTAAGATGATGGGGCGATGGGTGAACGTGTCATTAAGATGATGGGGCGATGGGTGAATGTGTCACTAAGTTGATGGGGCGATGGGTGAACGTGTCACTAAGATGATGGGGCGATGGGTGAATGTGTCACTAAGATGATGGGGCGATGGGTGAACGTGTCACTAAGATGATGGGGCGATGGGTGAATGTGTCACTAAGTTGATGGGGCGATGGGTGAACGTGTCACTAAGTTGATGGGGCGATGGGTGAACGTGTCACTAAGATGATGGGGCGATGGGTGAATGTGTCACTAAGATGATGGGGCGATGGGTGAATGTGTCACTAAGATGATGGGGCGATGGGTGAACGTGTCACTAAGATGATGGGTGCGATGGGTGAACGTGCCACTAAGATGATGGGGCGATGGGTGAACGTGTCACTAAGATGATGGGGCGATGGGTGAATGTGTCACTAAGATGATGGGGCGATGGGTGAATGTGTCACTAAGATGATGGGGCGATGGGTGAATGTGTCACTAAGATGATGGGGCGATGGGTCTACCTGGAGTCTACCTGGAGGGCATTCCGGGGATCAACGCCCCCGCGGCCCGGTCCACGACCAGTCCTCCCGGTGGATCAGCGCTTATTAACGAGGCTGTTACTGCTGGCCGCACGTAATCCAACGTACGAACCACAGCCCGGTTGATCCGGCACCGTCTTTAGGTATCTGTCCAGCTCCCTCTTGAAGACAACCAGGGGTCTTCCCGTAATGCCCCTTATTGCTGGTGAGAGGCTGTTGAACAGTCTTGGGCCCCAGACACATTGTGTTTTCTCCTAGTGTACCAGTGACGCCCCTACTTTTCACTGGGGGTATGTTGCATCGCCTGCCAAGTCTTTTGCTTTCGTATGGAGTGATTGGTGTGTGCATATTAGGGACCAGTCCCTCCAGAATCTTCCAGGTGTAGATTATGATATCTCTCTCTCGCCTGCGCTCTAGTGAGTTCAAGTCAAGTGTTTCCAGGCGCTCCCAGTAGTTAAGGTGTTTGATGGAACTTGTACATGCAGTAAAGGTTCTCTGTACATTCTCTAGCTCTGCAATTTCACCTGCCTTGAATGGAGATGTTAATGTACAGCAGTATTCCAGCCTAAAGAGAACAAGTGATTTAAAAAGGATCATCATTGGCTTAGCATCTCTTGTCTTGAATGTTCTCATTATCCATCCTATCAGTTTCCTCGCAGATGTCATAGTGGCATTGTTTTGATCCTTGAAGGTAAGATCCTCTGACATTACCACTCCCAGGTCTCTGTAGACAGCCTGTACTGTCTGCACAGACAGCCCATGCTGTCTGCCAGCTTAGTTCATATTTCGCGCCACTCAGATGCTGCCCTCTGTAGCCAGGCCTCTCGGTGGCCACTTCAGCCTGCCTGGCCTTGCCACGCTCTCACTCACACAGCAGCCTAGCAGGAAGACACAAGTACTCCCAGCTCTCTCTCGTGGGATGGCCCTGCCCGGGCCATGGGCACAAACACACAAGCCTGTGTACCCACCACTACCTTTCAATAAAGTAAGAAGCCTCCGAAGATATATCATTAACTACCCGCTACCAGAAGACCAAATAATCCTTTTTATATCTCTCACATTACCTTTCCTCTCTATTGTGTGATTGGAGTTTGTAGTATACTCAGTTCCAGTTATTATTTCCTCCAGTGAACGTGTCACTAAGATGAACGTGGGTGAACGTGTCACTAAGATGAACGTGGGTGAACGTGTCACTAAGATGAACGTGGGTGAACGTGTCACTAAGATGAACGTGGGTGAACGTGCCACTAAGATGATGGGTGAACGTGTCACTAAGATGATGGGTGCGATGGGTGAACGTGCCACTAAGATGATGGGTGCGATGGGTGAACGTGCCACTAAGATGATGGGTGAACGTGCCACTAAGATGATGGGTGCGATGGGTGAACGTGCCACTAAGATAATGGGTGAACGTGTCACTAAGATGATGGGTGCGATGGGTGAACGTGTCACTAAGATGATGGGTGCGATGGGTGAACGTGCCACTAAGATGATGGGTGAACGTGTCACTAAGATGATGGGTGCGATGGGTGAACGTGCCACTAAGATGATGGGTGAACGTGTCACTAAGATGATGGGTGCGATGGGTGAATGTGTCACTAAGATGATGGGGTAATGGGTGAACGTGCCACTAAGATGATGGGGTAATGGGTGAACGTGCCACTAAGATGATGGGGTAATGGGTGAACGTGTCACTAAGATGATGGGTGCGATGGGTGAACGTGCCACTAAGATGATGGGGTAATGGGTGAACGTGTCACTAAGATGATGGGGTAATGGGTGAACGTGCCACTAAGATGATGGGGTAATGGGTGAACGTGCCACTAAGATGATGGGTGAACGTGCCACTAAGATGATGGGGCGATGGGCAAATGTGCCACTAAGATGAT